GGTTTCTTTTTGTCTTTCTTTCTATATGATGAATATGAAATAGTAATGCCTCTAATCTCCATTAGAAGGAGTTCAAGAAATGTACTGTAATCCATATTTTCTATACGTACATTATTCTTTTCTAATTTGTTTCTAACAGATTTTATTGTTTCTTTCACTTTGATAACATGTGTTTTGTCTGTAAGTAAAGAAATGATTAAATGTTATCATGTACGTCATTTTGATGTAGTCATATTTCTTGATTATTTCACTAACGGTAGGAAAATATTGTTTTAGAGTAAAGTGAAATTGAGTTTAAGTGAGTTAAAGATATAGATTTTACAACGAATATCAATACATGTACCTCATTTATTTTAATGATTATCTACATAACATATGACATAATAATGCTATTTCAAAGTTTATGTAACCTCTTTGAATCCTGTGTATAATGTGTATAATCCATGTGGCTTGTTTCACACCCCTTCTAAATTATCATATATCAATTAAATTATTTCGAAGTTCATGTATCTTATTTGAGATTTTTTGTTGAGTGTGTATGATTAATTTTAATCACCTTAAAGAAGTTAATGAAGTGCCTTGAGCTGAGTCGGGTTTATCATTTTTTGTTTATTCTGCAGGAGACAGTATGAAAAACACTGGTATTCTTAACTGGGATCTGTCTGGGATGTCCTTCACCACCCCAGACAGAGATAATGACAGATATAGATATAATTGTGCTGCTGCAAGTACCACTAGAGGAGGCTGGTGGTTTAATGCCCGTCACTCCGCCTTCCTTAACGGTCCTTGGTCCCTGGAGTCCTGGGCCCACCCATGGTATACTACAGTAGAGAGAGGATCTTCTTTAAGGGAGACAATTATGTTAATTAGACGTCACTAGGTAAACCTCCGATTTTTAAAGAATTGTGTTCAATAATCTGATATTGTAGCTATGAATATCCGTAAAAAAAATTGTAGCTTATCCTTCTTTTATATTGTTTTACAGATGTAGAATTAAATAAAAAGAAGAAGAAATGGATGAATCATACAATAAAACACGAGTCACTAATTAGAAACATTTTCATTTTCATTATTATTCTTTAATGCATATTAATGTTCTATGAATTCCTCGTTTAAATAAATGTTTCTTTATAGAATAAGTATCCTTGTGTATTGATATCTCTCTGCGTGCCCTGCATGGATAATGTCGAAATTTCATATCAGTATTATTTTTATACATTTTAAATAATTTTAGAATAAGAGTTATCATGTTCTTATTAAATGATTCTGCCACATTGAAATAATTGAGCGTGTAGATAAAATAAAAATCATCAAAACGTGTATTGTGCATATATCATTAAATACACTATTTTATAAGAACAAAGTTTATAACTTTATTCAGTGTTTATCATGCCAATGAATTTTTCCTCATTTTATATAATTTTGTTTCTTTTAAATTTTGTTTCATTTGAAAATAAAGTATAAAAATTGTTCCTAAAATGCTATTAAAACAATACACATTGTGAACAAAGCAAATATGTACCTCTGCAAATATCAATTAAGGGAACAAGAACATTGGAAAAGCATCTTTGCGCCGTCTGTGGCGTAACAGTAGCATTACATTTGTTACTTTTTTATGACATTATCCTTATCCCCACAGTGCACTTGCGATTACTTGCTAAAAAGACGTGGTTTTAAAGATAAATATTTACACGGTTTATGTAGCGATTTATTGCAAAAAATGGTTGCTTTTTTATCGCTATAATATTTACGCAATCATTCTTTGTTGAATACCAGTACTTTTTAATAGTTATTTATTTCCTTTTATTTTGTTTAAATGAATTTTTGTTTGAATTGTTATATTATTTTGACATTATTAAAACGATTAAAATCTAAATCATTTTTCAAAATATTTGATTTTCCAGAAAGGTTTTCATTTTCTCGTAGCTTATAAAAGACGTCACTCGTCACCCCCTCCCCCTTCCTTTATTTCCTGGGTCATATGATAAACATTTCAGTGGAAATTGCAGAATCTTTTTATAAATAAAAACAGAAATGAGATTTAATAGAAGAGAGATATCTCCCGTGAAGATTTTGATAACAGTTTTTTACAGAATTTTTTGAAGTGGTGAAAGGTTTTTGCCTGCATACGGATGTAGGCTGAAGTATGTCAACTTATATTAAGAGAATAAGGTTAATTTATATAAAATTTTATCGAACTTTCAAGGCCCATATTAAGCAATTTAAGTTGGGAGGGGTGCACAACCATATATTTCTGGTGGGAAACTATCAAGTACCAAAAATTCCTCTTCAAGCATAAAAAATTTAAATAAATAAATAAAAATTCATTTTAATTAGATTTTTAAAGGAGTCATTAGACGTTTTTATCGAGGGGACACAAATATCATATTATAGTAGGTGTTTTTTTTTTTATAGAATACTGTATATCGGAAAAACTATAGGGGGTATGCCCCCTTCATACATTTAAGCATTGAATTCATATTTGTGGATGTCTTTGCCTCTTTGGTCCTTTAACACACCTGGTCGTGCCGACAAATTGAATACCGCGCGTTAACTGATGTAGTATCAGTTAAGCTTCTACTATGATGCAAGCCAGGTGTGTTATAGGACCGAAGACATCCAAAAATATGAATTCAATGCTTATATTTACATTCTCTAATATTCCTTTTTCATAATTGCTTATTTCTCTTATCTTAAATGTGAATTAAGCGCCCTTCAAAACTGCCATGGTTAATAGATGTAAGAGCTGTTTGTGACGTCAAATGACGTTAAATGACCTTGCAAAGTTAAATAACGCAAACAAACATTGCGAGGGGAAAAAGTGACAAATTAATTCTTAACGCGCATTACGTTAATTTTTACTTTAATTTTTCAGGGTTATAGTTTTTCATTAAATTGAAATAAAACATTTTACATTTTGATGTTCCTAGAGTATTGAAAATGCATGTAGTTCCTACTGTGTATTCCAACGCGCGGTGACAAGGTTTCGCGTGTGTTATAGAAATTTGAACGTCGTGATTTTCTAATGGATTTCATCAGGAAAATTACACTGACTGTAAATATATGACCATCATTTTTTTATTGTGTTTACAATATTTTCTTCCTGTACATTAAGATTAACACTGGAAGTTTGGTGTTTGTGTGTATAATCAGATAAGAATAAAATATACTGAGTAAGATAACAAGGAAAACGTTTAGGGAATCCAAAGGACAGGAATTGTGTTAGTGGAGGAACAAAACAAATGCATAAAAATAGAAAGTTAGAGAACGCCAGAATCTCGGTGAAAGCATATATTTATGTCAATATTACATAGGATAAAAATAAAAGAAAACAGATGCTTGGCATAAATGTAAGGATTTGTTACTGCTGAAAAGAACCTTCATATTTTTTTTTTTTGTATCCTAAGAGATTTTATTTAAGATACTGAGAGTGTGATGCGGGTGACCCGAGATTCTGTATCAATTTTCTTTACAAGGAATAAAAGGAAAGAATAACGAAAAAAGAGTTCATCATGAATTTTACATTACAAATTGCTATATGTGTTGTTATTTAATGGTAACAGCAAGGAAAGTCTGACAATTTGAGATTTTCAGCCACTTTGAATCTTTATCGAACCTTTATTAAAAATAGGGAAAACAAAGAAGACAGTCTCATAAAAACACCACAAATTGTTGCCACTTATGCTTAAAAAGGTGTGTAAAATATATATCAAACAAACTATTCTCACAAAAAAGACACATTATTGCCACTTATGCTAAAAAGAAAGTGTGTAGAATGTATTACTATAGTAGTAAGTGGTAACAAAAGATACATTTGGAAAACATTGTTAATGTTGAAAAACTGTCAGTATTCACTTATGCTAGGTGTGACTGTCACACGATCAAACTCAAACAACAACTTCAGGAAAAACAATTTTAAAAAATCACATTAAGTAAAAAGGTATTAGCAATGTTTTTATGTAATAATCTTTATGCTTGTCATGGTTACACGATGTAACCAAGCAAAATTAGTTCAAGATTGGCTTAATGCTTCTTCCTTGAGGAAAACATGAAACTTTAAAGCTGGCGAAATTTTTTGCAAGGGCCTTGCGAAACCAAGAACATAAACAGATATTGGGATTAATTGCTTATTTGCAATGTCACCATAGAAACAAAACACTTTTGGTTTAAAGTGAAATTTCTTTGCTGCTTTAGTAATTTGCTTCCTTTTTCATCAAGGAACTTATAATATGACTTACCTTGAATGGTACGTTTCTAAAGTTGAATAATCATCGAGTTTGTCAAATCACGCTGTTTTTTTTTTTACTTTATGTTTGCAGTTGAATAACACAACGGAGCATCCTGAATAAATTAAAACATATAAGAAGGGACTATCAGTTTGAGCTAAAACCGACCTTCTGCAATAAATGCATGTCTCAAAAATTAGATACATATTTCACATATATTGTTAACATTATTCCCTTTTCTTTTCATTATAACCTTCTTTTAATAATCACACATCACCTGTAATATTTGAAACAGAACAAGCAGATATGTGTAGGAGAGTAGGACGTCTTTGTGTTACTGTTTCCCAGAAATTAATTACATATTCGTGTGGGAAGAAAATGCTAAGCGTGAGATTGTACGAATGCTTTTGATGTTATTATCTACAGAGAAGGACAAAGAGTTCCGATTGCCAAAGTACTTTAAGCTTGTGATCATTCATCATTTTGTCTTAGACAACACAATGATAACACCAAGAATTCTCTTGTGACATCAGGATGTTATCTCTCGCCACAGTGTAAGTGATTCCTGTCATAATCTTCATGTACTGTCAGAGTTCTGTAGGGTTTTATTTACTTTCAGCACATTCAGACAACTCAGGAAACATCTCTTTAGACAATATATGACGTCATCTGATTGGGAAAATCCCAAAATGTCTCTATATATACCTTATAAAATCTGTTCTCGTAAAACAATATTGTTTTTTCTTCTGGTAAGCTCACTTCTAAGTTGCAAAGATGATGTTTACCATACTTGTACTGTTTTTTATGTCAATATCCCAAGTCAGGACGGCTTCCTTGTTAACTGGTACAAACGATCAGAACTCTACGGCTTTGATCAGCGACAGACGGGACATCAAGGAAATTGACGTTCTCCGGCAGATCATCAACCAAGAGACTCTAATCCGGGTAGCAGTGGTCAGGGATGTTAAGGAAGTAGTGGATGACGTCAGTTTTTTGAAAATAAGCTTGACGTCTACAGAAAATATGGTCTCCTCCCAACAACAGGCTTTCAATACACTGAAGCGGCAGGTCAATTCTTTAACACAGGACAAGACTTTAGAGGTGAAAACAGAAACATTACAGATAGAAGTTGAAACTCTTACTAACCAGAACCAGATTTTGACACAGAGGCTAGAAAATTTGGAAAGAAAGATTGATACTCTAATTAAGGATACCGATTTACAGCAAAGAGTAGATAAGTTGAAAAATGAGGTTGGTTCTTTGAGTCGGGAACAGAGAAGCGAATACCAAAAGATTACAGTGGATTGCGAGAACAAGATTCAAGAAACCGAACAGAAGCTTAATAGAAACATCGCCGAAATTTACGAACTCTTAAATAACAGAACATTGCAAACCGTTACGAAAGGTATTCTACCTCCTTATATCTCTCTCTCCTCTCTCTCTACTCTCTCTCTCTCTCTCTCTCCTCTCTCTCTCTCTTTCTCTCTATCTCTATCTTAGTGTGTATTTTTTCATATTAATTACCTGTTGTTCTTTTTAAGATTCCAAAATAAACAGGGATTGTAAGGATCATTTTCTACAAGGCCATACACAGTCTGGTGTATACAGTATAAACCCCTTCGGAAAAGAAAACCACGTGGATGTATACTGTGATATGGCGATAGAAGGTGGAGGGTGGACAGTTAGTTTCTCTATTCTTCTTTCAAGTTTTTGAAATAATTAATTAAAAAAAGACAAAGAGATTTTTAAAAAGTCAGCCTTCAAGATATTTATTTTCTGATGATAACTTGTAGGCAATCCAGAAACGTGTGAGTGGATCTGTGAGTTTCGACAGAACGTGGTCGGAGTACAAGGTTGGATTTGGTAACGCTAGTGACTCCTACTGGATTGGTAAATGTTTATTGTCATTTTAATAATATTAATATCTTAATCAATGTTTACTTTATTGCATCTACGTATGTTTTACGGAATAAAATTTGTTTTTACAAAAAAAAAAATGCAAAAATATCAGGGTAATTCTGTATGAATTTATTAGTGATTTCATGTATATTTACAAAACTTATACACCCGTACTATTAACTTTTCCAGGAAATGACGTCATTCACCAGCTAACTAAGGGAAGAAACTCCTCCCTCTACGTCTCTATAACATTACAAGATGGGACGACTTTATATGAACTATATCAACAGTTCTCTGTGTCTGACGGAAGGGACAGCTATAGACTTTATCTTGGAGGATCAGCTTCCGGGACGTTAGGTAAGTAATAAGTTATGTGTGTGACTATCCCTGGATCAAAATGAAGTGAAAGAGATTGAGAAAGTGTGAGATTAGACAGGAAAGGAAAAATAAAGAGAGTGAGGAAAATAAAAAAAGAGATGTATTTAATCTATAAGAAGTATATGGCAGTTTTAATATGATTTGTCTTCCACTAACAAAATGAATATATGCTGTATCTCTTGTTAATGCGTAGAGCCTCCCCTTTATAACAATGATTCATTTTAAATAATATTGAATTTAATACTTAAATACTGCCTAATCCTTCCCCTGTAGCTAAAAAAAAAATAAATGGTAATATTTTTATTTTTTGCATTGAAGAAACAAGAATTCTGTAAGATATTTAATGCTACAACTACAGCAAAACTCGTTTAGTACGAACACGGATATTGCGAATTTACGGATATAACGAAGTTATCTTAGATCCCAAGCTATGTAAATTTAATGAATTTCTTATACAGTTATAACGAATTGTGACTTCGTTATAACCGAGTTTTGCTGTATTGTATTTGTGAAATTCATTTATAGTTTTTAACGATTACTATTACCAGTAACCAATTTATTTTGTACACGTCACGTTCTTCACCATAAAACTATCGTTTTATTTAATTCTGCTTGGCGTCTCTAAGTTTAATTACCTAATGCCAGAAACTGGAAAATGATGGTATGTTATGATAAATATAATAGATCTAGAGAGACAAATGGAGTATTAGAAATGACAAAATGTTATTATGTACCTCATTCTGATGTATTCATATTTCTTGGTTATTTCACTCAAGATAGGGGAATATTTTTGTGTAGAGTGAAATTGAGTTAAAGAAATAGATTTGACAACGAATATCAATACCTCATATATTTATAATGATAATCTACATAACATATGATATAATGCTTAGTTTATTTGAATCATTTCGGAGTTTATTTTACTTGTTTGACATCTTTTTTTATGTATTGTATATCAATTAAATTATTTCAAAGTTCATGTATCATATTTCAAATTTTGTGTTGAGTATATATGATTAATATTAATAACTTTCAATAATTAACGAAGTACCTTGAACTGAATCAAGTTTCAATTGTTTTTGGTCATCTGAGTAAACTCGGGTATCCTATTGCTATCCGTTTTTGTCCGTCGTCGTTCGTCGTGCGTCGGGCGTAAACATTTGAATATTTTCAGCTTCTTCTTTGAAAACGCTGAACCAATTTCAACCAATTTTGGCACAAAGCATCTATGGGTGAAGGGGAACTGAAATTGTGAATTTCAGGTCCCTGTCCCCCCAGGTCCTGGGGGTGGGGCCAAAACTACTAAAATTAGTGCAATCTTTAAAAATCTTCTTCTTTACTTCTGGACATCAAGCAGTCAAACTGTTGGTATCATTGTAACCGGCATTAAGTCCTCTACCAAAATTGTGAAATGCATGACCCCAGGGTCAGGGATTCTAGTACTAGGGTGAGGCTACATTGATAATATATAGTGAAAATGCATAAATTCTTTGAAATTCTTCGTCCCTGCTCCTGGACATAAAATAATCTAACAAAGTGCGTAGTTTTGTTGAATAAGGCCGTCTCGTCCAAGATTGTGAATTTCATGTCTCCTGGGTCAGGAGTTCTGGTGTTAGTGTGTGGCTATATATTTACATTTCCAATGTCTTTGTCCGAGATAAAATTACCAATTGTAAATGTAATTTATTTCCTCATGAATGCTTTGGCGCGGTTCCAAAAAAAACCACGTGCAGGGCGGGACGACACCTAGAGAGAAGCAGGCTTGGAGCCTGTGGATTGGCGGAATCAAAGCATGTAAATATAAGGAATAACTGTCAGATTTTTCGAATTCATGAAGATGATCAATGGATTGGCTTGTGTGATAATTTTATGCATAAACGCCTTCATGAATTCGAAAAATAAAACAGTTATTCCTTAAATAAATTATATAGTGAAAATGAATTATTTCTTTGAAAATCTTCTCCTCTGCTCCTTGGTATTAAACAAACAAGCCAAGTATATAGCTATAATGACAATGAATGCCTCTTCCAAAATTGTGAATTTCATGGCCCTGGGATCAGGGGTTCTAGTGATAGGGTGGGGCTCTATTGATTACGTAGAGAAAAAGCATAAATTCTTTGAAAATCTTCTTCTCTGCTCCTGGATAATAAACCAATATACTTTTTACATAGATACCGGTATGATCACAAGACGAAAGACCACCTTTAAGCAATCGCTTAATGGTAGCTTAATGGTGACTTAATGGTGGCTTAAAGAAGTTAATTCCTTTAAGCCACCATTAAGCCACCATTAAGCTGCAACTTACAGGTGCTTAATGTCCAAACTTCATTAAGCTACCATTAAGCTGAGCGCTACCATTAAGCTGAGCTTAATGGTGACTTAATGGTCAACCCTCATTAAACTTTTACGCATCTTATATAGAATCTTTGAACTAACTTTTAGTTATTTTAATATCGTTTACGCAAAATCTATTCCAACTCATAATTCTGTCTTGATCATAATTTCTACGAGTTTTTTGTCAACATGCATAAACTTAATCACTGGGAACAAAGTTAGCTAATAGCCACAGGGGCTTGCTCGAGGTGTCTATTTTTTTCTTAAAATCATTTACAGTGATAATAAAACAAGACATCCTGTATCAGAACCGTATATTATTTTTTTTAAATAAATCATTATTACATGCGTTGTTTTTATTTTTAGTGTATATGATTTTTAAAAATAAATAATTATTACAAACCGTGAGCAAGTCCTTGTGAAATAACTTAAATTTACAATACCAAAAATCAATTTGTTCTTAAAATTATCTATATTCATGAACACAAAATATATAATTATTACTTTTTAAAAACAAAATGGTATTTTTATTTCATGTGTTAAAAGAAACATTCCGCTACAGAATTCACAGGAATATATAACTATATAATCTCATGAAAAAAAATCTCTGTCCTTTTTTTTTGGGGGGGGGGGCTACTGGTATACAAATGTTTAGTTTTCAAAGATTGACTTTTACCATGAAAAACTTTTTAATGGCTTTTACATCATGAATAATTCTAATTAATTCGTTATTTTTTTTAATAATGCAGCGGTAAGTATCTGTCAAAATCTAGTCGGTCTTCAATGATTGTTATTTCAAAATCGATTTTCAGAGGAACGGCCGATCAGACTAAACATGACATCCGACCAGATGTATACACATTGAGAAACGGGGTAAGATTAACAGATGATCAGTGTACAGTAAACCGACTGGTCAGACAATAGACCTTAATTAGGAGTCCCCCCGTCTCCGGTTAACTAACAGGAAACTATACATACACAACGTTCACTGACAGATTTTAATGATCAATTATTTTTTAAAAAAAAATTAAATTTAACGCAAGCATATTACAAATTAAAAATTATGATTCATCGTAAAAAGTCAATTATTTTGATACCCATTATGATACAAAAAGAATTGAAACTGAATATGATATTCTAAAAAAAAGTTTTTGTAAACGTAATTAACCAGGTAACTCTTACGCGAGGATTGTCAGTAAATTGTTGACACAGAAACCGTTAATATCCGCAGTATATTAAAAATAATAGTAGAATCTGTTTTTTCGTCTTTCTTTTTCGATGATAGACTTTTGTGTTTTATCTATAATTAATTTATTTTCAATCATGATTTAATGCTTACATTTCGAAAATTTTCGAATAACAGAGCGAAGAACTCAATCACATTACATCAATCTAAAAGCCGAACTCAGTGTAGAAATATATATTAATGTGTTAAGACCCACAAATAAAATTGTTTATATTTTGATTAATAAATCAATTCAAGGCTTTTGGAAATGTTCAACAAAATACTAGTAAATACCTTTACAAGTTGAAAAAAATAAAGGTTAAATATTTAATATTTTCATTACATTATCAAGAGCGGCGATAGCCTAATGGATAATGCGTTTGCCTTGCAATCCTAAGGTCATGGGATCGCGCCCCGACTGTGGCGTTTTTTTTTTATTTTTGGATTTTGAATTTCGTTCTTTTTCATTATTTTTACCAAATCAAGATATAAGCGAACTCTACATTTATAATATTGATAACAAATCACTATAAAAATAATTTTTCACCCATATAAACAATATTATAGACTGTGTAATGTGACTTAATGGTGGCTTAATGGTAGCTTAATGGAGTTTGGACATTAAGCACCTGTAAGTCTAGCTTAATGGTAGCTTAATGGTGACTTAATGGTGGTCTAAAAGTTACCATTAAGGACCTGTAAGCTACCATTAAGCTACCATTAAGCTACATTTAAGCACCCATTAAGGACTTTGAGTTGGCTTAATGGTAACTTAATGGAGGTGTAAATGTTACTTAAAGGTGCTGAATGGTGACTTAAAGACAACCATTAAACCACCATTAAGGACCTAAAAGCCACCATTAAGCCGGACTTAAAGGATGTGTTTCATCTTGTGGATGACGAAGGATGCCTCCTTGAGATCTGTGAATTTCAGGGTCCCTGCGTCAAGTCTTCTTGATTAAGGGCGGGGCTCAAATGTTTAAATACTGAAACTGCATGAATTCTTTTAAAATCTTTTCCTTCGCCCCTGGGTATTATGCCGTTGAGCTGAACACATATTTCTGATAAGGAAAGCTGCTTCTTCCAAGTTTTTTTTTGGGGGGGGGGGGGTCAGGGGTACTTGGAGGGGGTGGGTACGTAATCCGAAAATAGGTCAATCCTTTGAATCTGCACTTTAGTATTAATCTACGATTATGGTGAAATAAAATTTATGATAATAATTGATGATGAAATAAAATCTATGATAAAATTTCCAAAATTTTGAAATAGGTGGATCCAGGTTCAGTGGTTTCTGTGGGCTGGGTGCACAACTGGTGGTTATAAAGTGGAAATGCATTCTATCTTTGTTACTCTGATCTATCTCTGAGTATTAAGTAACCAGAGAGAGCATACTAAGTGTTTAATAATAATAAGCAATGTCGCCTCTTTCAAAATCGTGAATTTCATGGCATCTGGTTTAAAACACGAATCAAATTCAATTGTTGGAAAGTTGTTACACGATACTCAGGTGACCTATAAGGCAGTGGGTCTCTTGTTTAATCTACAGGAGACAGTATGTTCAACACCGGGGATATTAGGTTTAATTTGTCTGGGATGTACTTCTCTACCCCGGACAGAGATAACGACAGAGCTAGTATAGGTAACTGTGCTGCTTACAGTGGTCGTAGAGGAGGCTGGTGGTTTAACGCCTGTCACTTCACCTTCCTTAATGGTCCCTGGAACCCGGCAGACTGGTGGTACCCATGGTATCCCACAGTAAGGAATGGGACATCAATAAGGGAGACAATGATGTTAATCAAACGGGTAAGCATCCGGTTTTGAAATAAATTTGTTTTATAGTCTGATATTGTAGCTATAAATAGCCGTAAAAAGATTTGTAGTTTATCCTTCTTTTATATTGTTTTAATCTACAGATGGAGAATTAAATGAAAAGAAGAAAATAAAGAGAAGAAAAACTTGATGAATCATAAAATAGAAAAGTATAATTACATGTATCAGCCACTGATAAGAAACTTTTATTTTCATTATTATTCTTTTATTCATATTAATGTTCTATGAATTCCTTGTTCAAACAAATCTTAATAAAATAGGTATCCTTGTGTATGGATATCCCTTTGCGTGCCCTGCTAGAAAAATGTTGAAATTTCATATCATTCTTATTTAATACATTTTAGATAAACTTAGAATGAGAAATATCCTGCTCTTATCAAATGATTCTGCCGCATGAAAATAATTGAGCGGAAAGAACAAATACAACTCAATAAATGAAAATTGTAGATATATTATTAAATACATATAATTATAGAGTAAAGTTTAAATCTATATATATTTAGTGTTAATCATGCCAACAATCATCACAAACCAAGTGCATAATTAGGTCGAAAATGACTGCCTTTTCCAAAATTTTGAATTTCATGGCCCCAGGGCCAAGTGTTCTAGTGCTAGGATGGGGCTATAGATTATATAGTGAAATGCATGAATTCTTTGAAATTCTTCTTTTCTGTTTGTGGACATTAAATAAACATAACAAAGTGCATAGTTATGTTGAATAAGGCTGCCTTGTCTTATATTGTGAATCTGATGGCCCTAGGGCCAGGGGTTCTAGTGGCAGGGTCGGGCTATATAGATTATATAGTGAAAAAGCAAAAATTCTTTGAAATTCTTCTCTGTTCCTGGGCATTAAATAAACTAACCAACTGCATAGTAATGTTGAATAAGGCTACCTCTTCCAAATAGTGAATAAATGAATTATGTACATAGTTATGAGAAGGAAGGATGTTTTTTGAGGTGGGGGGAGGTCACATAGTAATGTTGAATAAGGCTACCTCTTCCAAATAGTGAATATCATGGCCTCTGGGTTGGGGGTTCAGGTGTTACGGTGGGACTTTATTGATTTTAAAGTGAAAATGCATAAATTCTTTAAAAATCCCCTTTTCTGCACCTGGATATTTAATAAATGAATTATGTACATAGTTATGAGAAGGAAGGATGTTTTTTGAGGTGGGGGGAGGTCACATAGTCTGAAAATAATTTAATGCTTTGAAATCTGCTATTTGGTATTAATCAACAACATGATGAAATAAAATTTATACAATTTCCAAAATTTTGAAAGATGTGGCCCCAGGGTCAGTGATTCCTGTGGGACGGGGTGCACAACTGATAAAGTCGAAATGCATTGCCTCTTTGGTACTCTGATCTACCTCTGGGTATTTAGTAACCAAAGTTATCATGCTGGGTGTATAATTATGATAAGCAATGGTGCCTCTTTCAAAACTGTGAATTTCATGACCTAGGTGGTTTAAAACATGAATCAAATTCAACTGTTGGAAATTTGTTGCATGATACTCAGGTGACGTATAAGGCCAATGGCCTCTTGTTTTAACTAGGAACTTGTCTTCTATCTATTGATACCAATTTTTTAATTTTCAAATAACAATCTTTTCAGGTTCACATATCCTTAATTTTCATAATAGATAAATGTATTATGTTCAACTGATGCGGCTAATTCATAATATCTTATTTGAGAATTAGTACAATGTCATCCGGCATCGCATATTATCATGGCAACGCAGTAAGTAAGTACATTTGCACTCTGTAGGAATTTTATAACAGATCGAGTATTTCACCTGTACACACAATCATTACTGTTTTAACCTTGAGTAGATGGGAATCAGTAAATGATTTGTGTCGTATTGGGGGAATGAATACAATACCATCGCAAATCTGTATGACAACGCAGTGAGTACATTTGCACCATGGAGGAACTCGGTAACAGAGTATCTCACCTGAAAGCAATCGTCATAGTTCTTAACTTACGTAATATAAAGTATGTAAAGTTATGAGAAAACTGTTTTTTTATCTCAAAAATAATTGTTTTTGAGTCTTTAATAAAAGTTGTTAGCTTTGGTTTTTAGTTAATTTTAGAAGACATTCCTGGACTTTGTAAAAAGCACTTTAAAGTAAGGGATTATACAATAAATATTGCCTGGGAAGAAATGTCAAAGACAAAATATCGACACCGAATTACTTATTGAAATTGCAAACTATTCCTATGATAAAATGAAGTATGTGCCATTCAGCATTGTATTCTTTTTACAAGTTTTAAGCTTAATTTTAAAAGTAAAAGACACTTTTCATTCTTCTTTTTAATAAAAAATTAGAAATAACCCAGTTTTTATAGCATTGAATGCAATTGGGTTCTACGCGTCACATTTTATTATTGTATCGATTTATATTATATATTCTTTTTGTAACATACAACTAGGTTTTTCGCAACGTATGGCATTAAAAAAGTTGCATCAAATACATAACGATATTATGAGATATACATTCCGTAGCAGCATCGTCACTTCTACATAAAGGAGACATGGAATAAATACAGAAAATACATACTGTGATAAAGTACAAAAATATAATTTCTAAGGCTCATTATATAAATTGCATTCTAGAAGAACTTGGATTTAATTCTATAAGTGGTAATCCTACTTATACTCATACTTCTCTTTCTAAGGAAGAAATTCTTCAAAATCACCTGTCAGTTTTGAATACTTTTAATATTCCACAGAGCCAAAATGAATTTGAACTACCTTATATATATTGGATTCCGAAACTTCATAAGAATCCTTACAAACAAAGATACATTGCAGGTTCCAGTAAATGTTCAACCAAGCCTCTTTCGTTACTTCTCACTAAAATATTGACAGTAGTGAAAGAAAAACTTCAAGAGTACTGTACAGCTATATCTTCAAGAAGTGGTGTAAATCTGGTGTAAATCAGATGTGGATACTTAAAAATTCTACAGAACTTTTGGACAATTTGAAATCACAAAACTTTACAAAAATCAACAGCTTAAAAACTTACGACTTTTCAACTTTATACACAACAATTCCCCACGACAAATTAAAATCCAGGCTTTTTGATATCATTGACAGCTGCTTCTTCAACAAAAATGGAACTCGTAAATTTACTTACCTCGTCATTGGTCATTTGAAAAATTATTTTGTTAAAACAGATTCTGATTGCACACATAAGTACTCTGAAGTTGACATCAAGAAGATGCTTGAGTTTCTGATTGACAATATCTATGTGGTTTTTGGAGACCAGGTACTCCAACAATCTATTGGAATTCCCATGGGTACAAATTGCGCTCCGTTATTAGCAGACTTATTTTTATATTCATATGAAGCAGAATTTATGCAAAATCTTATGCGTGAAAAGAAGAAAACACTTGCTGTGGCCTTCAACTCGACATTTAGATATATCGACGACGTATTGTCAATTAATAATGATAATTTCCATTCCTACGTCGACACGATATATCCTGGTGAGCTTGAGATAAAAGATACCACAGAGTCCGACACTTCTGCTTCATACTTGGATATTTTACTTGAAAAAGACGCTAATGGTAATCTAACAACCAAGCTATATGATAAACGTGATGACTTTAACTTTTCTATCGTCAACTTCCCTTACTTATGCAGCAATATACCTTCATCACCTGCATACGGAGTATATATATCTCAGTTGATTCGATACGCAAGAGCATGCTCTACGTATGAACAATTTCTTAAACGAGGTAAATTATTGACAAGCAAGTTGATGAAACAAGAATATGAACAGTCTCGTTTAAAGTCATCATTTCGTAAATTCTATGGTCGATACAATGACCTTGTCAGCAAATACAATTTATCATTGAATGAAATGCTGACTGACGTTTTTCATACCAATTGTTAGTCCATTATTTATACACTGAATTGACGACGGATTTTTTCCGTTATTTCCTGATTATGACAACGAGCACACGGCGGGTGTGACCGGTCAGCAGGGGATGCTCACTCCTCCATGGCACCTGATCCCACCTCTGATGTTTCGGAGGTCCGTGTTTGCTCTGCTCTTATTTTGTATATTGTTTAATGGACGTTGAGATTGAATACTGTTCGTTATTTCCATATCCTTCTTTTAACCACCGAATATGTATCTCTGCTGGTGGACAGTTTGTCCCCGAGGATACTTGTCGTTCGGTACTTATTCATGCATGAGTACACAGAATAACGAAATGATACTGGCAGGCGCATCGCCCAGTATAAAAAGGCGTCACTCCTTTGAGTCTATAAGGGACACAGACTCAAGGAGTTCATTTGGTGCCCCTCGGATTATCCTCCGGGATATTAAACATATGTCATATGTACAGTCTTCAGATTCCCAGTTTTGGTATAAAACCAATACATCATATACCAAATTGAAAGAGTGTAAAGTTTCTATTACAGATATATTGGATGATTCCTTTTCCGATCCAATGTCTTCGGTTTCAAAATGTTCTGTGCGAAACTGTAAAACCTGTGACATTTTGATAACTGACACTTCTTTCACCAGTAATCTTACTGGACAGACCTTCTATACCAAAACTTGGGAAAATCTGAACTGCAAATCTTCTAATGTTGTCTATGGAATAGAATGTAATCTGTGTGGACTTATTTATGTCGGTGAAACCAAGGGATCGCTTAACAAAAGAATATCAGGTCATCGATTTCAAATAAATCATGGTGGTCAGCAGCTTTTATATAAGCATTTTAATTCACCTGATCATTCTATTTTATCAATGAAAGTTAGAATTCTGGAAAAGATTTATCACCACACAAATAGTCCGTCGTTGAGTACACCTTTCCGTAGACAACGTGAAGAAGTTTGGATTAGGAAACTAGGGACAGCCTTTCCCTATGGATGTAATGACAATGTCGATAGTGTTGGAAATCTTTCAAGCCCGCAGTGTAATAATATAAATGTGATGGGACTTTTTAACAATA